GCCTCTAAGTCTTCTGCTGCTTTTCTATGGAGTCAAAATTATCCTTGTTGTTCATGTCCATAAAGTGAAAATGGCTAGAAACGGCGCTGGGGTGAGCAACTGTGGAGGTATTGGGCCATTACAAACACTTCTTTCGAGGTACCCTCTGCCCTCTTTGACGACTGTTTATGTAAGTGACGAGTCTTCTGGCTCGACTTTATCCGGGAGTTTGCCGCCGAACGACTGCAGTGGGAAGCCCTGCTTTGCGATGCAGATGAAACGTAAATTTTGGATGCCGACAGAAGTCAACGCGGAGGCCGTCTTGGTTACTGCATCAACGATTTTACTACGAGCCTGATTAGCTGGGTATCTAGCTGTTGGATGAAATAGAACGCTTCTCTAGGAAAAGCAAAACAGACGCCGCCTTCGGTATAGGGCACTCTTAAGACCTATTTTCTCGCGTTCAAGTTACAAGAGGACTTTTAAAATCGAGGCATCTTTTTTTCCTTCCCACTCATCCACGGACACTTTCACGCATTTGTGTGGAAACTGTTCACTTGGGCAGCAAAATACAGAGTCTCTTTTGTTATTTGTTAGTGATAATTAGTGGTACTGTTTACTGACAAACACTTCAAATCCGTGAAGGAAATGAGGTTTTCATGATAATTTTTTATTTCAGTGACAATAAAATCTGAAGTAGTTGCTGGCGTCAAATCACGGCGTTTTCAGAGTTCCCATGAAAACTTTATTCATATCAACATAAAACGTAGCCTCGCTTTCCCTCTCTCTCTCTCTCTCTCTGAAAGGCGAAAATCAAAGGTAGGCTACGCAGATATACACGCCGAAAATGCTTCACCGTGTAGTCCTTTAAATGGTTCCTCCAATACATCAGTGAATAAGCTGGTAAAATGTGCAGGAGTCAGCAAAAACAAATGATGCATGGAGCTTTAAATCCGTAAGCACACGTAAGTTTCCCTATTTGAGACTACGAACCGTTCTCACCTTCGTTCAACAAATGAACATAGGGCAAGGGTCGATTACGCCGTCCTGGTCCCAAGTGTAAGTGAAATGTGGGCATTGAAAGTAAAATAAGCCGAAGGGGGGTGCTGAAATCGGTAGTGTACGACAACCTGATGTATGGCAAATCTGCCGGAAGATTGAAGGAAGCCTAGAATCCCCGCAAAAGATCTGGTTGATGGAACACGTGGGGCAGCAATATCGCAA